TGGGGGGCCGCGAGGGGGCCTGGCCGCCGCTGCCTCCTCCTCAGCACTGCCCGCCGCGCCGGGAGGCAGCGTGTTCCCGGCCAGCGGCGGACCTCTGCTCACCGGCGGCGCGGCCGTGCATATCCCCGTCGCTGGTGCCGCAAAGGCTACCCTCTACTGCCGCGTCTTCCTGCTCGACGGGACCGAAGTGAGAGTGGACCTGCCGGTGAGTGACGGGGCCTATCCTGGGCAACTGGCACCCCGCGCCCCTCGAGGCAGCTTCTCAGCCCGACCCAGTGTTTCCCTTTGGGGCTCTCTCTCTTGCTTTCTCCGGCGATCCCCTCCCCCATCACCTCCCCGGGCACTTCTAATCCTGATTTCCTCTCGGGCCACCCTTCCCAGTCTCTTCTTGGGGCCCATGCCTGGCCTGCGCCCCCTCCTTGGCACATGGAGCCACTGGATTGCGTCTTTTCAACCCCCACCTCATCCCTTCGGCCTCACCCCCTTGCCAGGGCACAGTCCCCACGTCCCGAGTTCCCTTCCTCTGCGCGAGTGACAAGTGTTTTCCTTCCGCCCCCCCTGGTTCCAGCAGGGGCCCTCCTGGTGCAGGGTTATTGGGTAGAAAATCTCAAAGCAGCACGGGGCTGCCCTGGGGTGGCCAGCTTGCTCCCACCAGGCCTTGGGGACGGTGGGGAGGAGAAGCACCCTCTCCTGCTGCCCCAAGGGTGCCCTGAGTTTGGGGGAGTCAGCGGACCACTTCTCTCTCCTGATTCCCTCTGGGTGCCCCTTCCCCCAACCCCAACCCAGAGGGCCCCTCTGGTCCTCAGCCTCTCAGGGGGTTGGGCAACCTGGGTGCTAACTCTAGAGTCGACTCTCTTGGATCTGGCCAACTTTGCATCGTTGCATTGGCTGAACCCTAGCTGGGGCGTGGGGAGTCGGCCCCGGGTCGTCTGCAGAACCTGGAGCGCCAGACTTTCTCCCTGGGCCAACGTCCGTGGGGCCAGCGGGGCACCCTAGGGCCACGGTGCCTCTGTCCCCGGCCACCTGCCCACAGGTGGTTGCACTTCCCCCAAGCAGAGAGCTTGCCGGGCGCTGCTCTCCTAGGCAGGGCATCCTGCCACCGAAGAGTAATCTTTCTGGCGGAATCAGATCAAATCAAGCCCACACATTTATGGAGTACCTACTGTGCACAGGCGCTGTAGCAGACAGTGCCTTCGGGAATCTTTGGGTGTGACTGAGAGCACAGTAGTAATTGAACTTTAGATGAATGCTACAGATCATCCTGAGGGTTTCAAGGGAAGAAATAATATAACCTGGATTTGCAAACAAAGCATTTAGGCCTTCCCAAGTGGAGAAGTTCTTTGTACTTCATCAGAAAAATAGGAACATCCAAGGGTCTGGGATGGGAAAATCAGAGCCTGCCTGGCCTGGGGTTTAATACTTCCTGTGTAGGTTTAATTTGGAGACAGTTTCAATTTATGGCAATTTTATTTTTGTGGTTCCTTGTGCTCTCCATAGGTTATAATTTTGTTATGAAAAGACCCTTTTGGGGCCTTTTTATTCATGAAAAAGGAGCCAACATTCTCATGCTTAGAGCTGTTGTATTTAAAATCACAGTAAAACGTTAATGTTTCCTGAGAATGGGGCTTTCTAGCTTTTATCCACCTGAGAGAGGAGGCCTGGAGAAGGTGGAGGAGTGGAGAGGTGAGCAGTCTGCCTCTGGAGTGGGAAGCCTGTGTTTGGAGAGGATGTGGCGCATTTTGCCTCTCGGATCCGTGAAAGGAATGCAACCCTTGGGAACTTTGACAGTGCTCCTTGCTGATGGGTTTCTTGTCTCTTCCCAGGGGATAATTCGTTTATAAAAGGTATTGCTCCTGTCACGTTTGTGCAACTGGCTTAAGTAGTGTTTCTGAGATGAAAAACGCAAACTGAGTAAAGTGCATGTGTGGTGAACAGACCCAAACAGGTACAGAAATGAATGGATTGGGACGGGAATGCTGATTTATGACAGCCAGCAGAGCCCTCATTGAGCATGGGGGAAGGGGAAAGTTGCATCCTAAAAGATTTCTTGGCTTTCATAAGGATACTTGACAGAAGAACTCACCCATTCTCCTCCCGCCCCCCAAAAAATCCCAAACTCGTTGTCGTCATGGAGTGGATTCCGACTCATAGCAACTCTATAGGGCTGAGTAGAACCAACCGCCCCCATAGGGTTTCCAAGGAGTGGCTGGTAGATTGGAACTGCCGACCTCTTGGTTAACAGGCAAGCTCTTAACCACTGCACCACCAGGGCTCCTCACTCACCCCAGGTTTCCTTTTTATGACGGCAAGTTTTTTGGATGCCTTTAAGATGTAATTTAATGAACCCCAAATTTTATTTATACACACACATATATACATCCTGTCCAAAGGCAAATGAAAAGCAAATGTTGGCTTTTGTCACGTGAGCTCTCTGGGAGGAAGGATCAAGAAAAATTACCCATGACCACAGCTCACTGATGTAACGATTTAGTAACTATTAGAACTACATCATACAGTCTCTTAGACCAGTCATCTTAGATCAGTGTTAGTTTCTATAATTAATTCTCCCAGTTCAGAGGTTAACGCCAGGCGGCCATGTCCCCAACAGATTTGTAGCATGTATGCTTGTTCCTCAGACCCACTTCACCAGGCTCACCTTTTTTGTGGTCCTTTTTAGCATTTGGCCTCACTTGTCGTTATTCTCCTCTTCTGTATTCCTGAATTTTTACCACTTCCTGGGCTCTGGCCTTACTGGTGTTGCATTGCTACCTGTCGCACAACTAGGATTTACCTTTGACCCTGTTTCCCCTAAGCTGGATTTTCATCTCCATTCACTTTCCATGGGCACTCGGTGACATTGCCAGGCCAACCATGGCTTCTTTGTAATTAAAACCCTCTGGTGGTGTTGGCTTTAAGAATTCCTTTGCTCAACGTACTAAAAGTGGTTATGTGTTGTTATAAACCTTTTTATTAGTGCTAGTCAGGACACTTGTATTCTGAAATCGCCTCAAACATAGTAACACACTCAGTATGACAGGGCTTGGCACCTCGGTTCAGTTCAGTCATCATTTATTGGGAGGCTCCATCCAGCGTACCAGGTGCTGTGCTGTGGGCACAAAGGTGAATGAGATGTGGCCTCGAGGCTCTTGGGAAACACATTTTTTTATTCTGGTATGCTGAGTGTGATGACAGGTACACCTAGACAGGGTGGTGGGGGACGGATGGGATCCGGGAATTGGGCAGAATTCCTGGACACTTTGACACTTTGGATTATAGGATTTCAAATCAGGGTCCCTTGTGCATTTTTAGAACACCTGTTGTGTCCAGTCCACTTCTTGGCAGAGTCATGGCCCGATTGTTGTATGAAATAAAAGAGATAGCAACTATAATTGTCTTCTCCAGCAATCCTCCTTTGACAGGGCTTCGAGCCCCCTTGTCTGGTGGTGGACTGAGTCCTCTAGGACCCCTGAGTGTCTTTAACCTTTGCTATGGATAGTCAGTGGTTTCTCAATCTTTTATAAAGTGTGAATAAAAGGATCTTTAAAAAAATCCAGCTATAACATACAGCCTAAATAAAATGGGCTTGCTGCACCAACCTAGCTCCCAGGTGAGTCCTTGGCTTGCCCTACCAACCAGGGCGCCACCCTGAGCCATTCTTTTTCAGAACACCTGGCCCTGCCCTGGAGGGCACCACCCTTTCAGTGGCCCAGTGCTGCCCTTCCCTCAGGTATGGTCTGGTCAGAGTAGGGCAGGGCTCCCTCTCAGCCTCCTCTAGACACTTTTCCTTCTATTAATGCAGCTGAAGATCCCATTAGTGTGCTTGGCAGGGGTACCCTCTGTTGATGCATATTAGCTCTCTGTTGACTAAATCCCTGACATTGCTGTTGCTCCGCCCTCTCTCCCCCTTTCCCTGCACGCACAGGCCTCCAGCAGCTCTATATGGAAAGCTATTAGGGTGTGTGGCTGGCTGGTCAGCACTCACGCCATGCCTTGGAAGGCACGGCTTGTTGGCCAGCGTTGAGCATTTGGAGCAGTTGCTTTCACTGTATCTGGAATGTAATGTTGACTTATGTGGAATAGTGTAAACATGGTGAGTTTCAGAATTAGAAAATCCACGTTTGAAGCTTGCAACCTGGCTGTGCAGCCTTGGGCAACGTATTTAGACTCTCTGAGCATCAGTTTCTTGGTCTTTAAAATGGGGATGTTGCGAGAATTAAAGGAGTCCTCCCTGGGTGGCGCAAATGGTTAAGCACTTGACTACTAACTGAAAGGTTGGCAGTTTGAACCCACCCAGAAGCACCTTAGAAAAAAGGCCTGGCGATCTGCTTGATTCCAAAGGGTCACAGCCTTGAAAACCCTGTGGAGCCCAGTTCAGCTCTACGACACATGGGGTGGCCATGAATCGAAATCGACTTGATGGCAACTGGTTTAGTTTTTTTGGTTTGGGAGAATTAAATGACAGGGAGGATATAAAAAGCTTGTGTAAACAGCAGGGTACTGAAAGGAAGCTGGTAGGTTGTAATCTTACATACTCCTTATGCCTCCTCTTTGGCCTATGGAAAGGCTTTGGAAAAATTTCTAGTAATGAACATTAAAAAACAAAGAAAGAAGAAAAACAAAAGCTGTGCCAGGCAGGCTAAACATTGCTCAGCACTTCTCAGTAGAAATTGTAAGTCAGATACAGTCAGAGAGGTTCTTTAAAAAAGTATGTCACTTTGGATAAGAAAAGACCCCTCCCCCCCCAAAACAGAAAAATTTAAGTTCTTGGAATTTTAGGACTGGAATAGTTGATCCAACAGAAGGCATAAGGGTCATGTGCTTTATTTTGGAATTGGAAGGGATCCTAGACAGGACACATACCATACACTGTATAGATGGGGAAACTGGGGCCTGTGGATATAAAGTGACTTCTCTTTAGCCGGAAACCCTGATGGCGTAGCAGTTAAGAGCTACGGCTGCCAACCAAAAGGTCGGCAGTTCAAATCTACCAGCCGCTCCTTGGAAACCCTATGTGGCAGTTCTACTCTGTCCTATAGGGTCACTATGAGTCGGAACCAGCTCAACGGCAATGGGGTTTTTTTGGTTTCTCTTTAGTTACTCAGTGAAAGACTTGGAATGGGCTACTTTGGAAACCCCGACTGCCCCGCCTACAGAGTTATGGAGGGTAGGGTCAGCGGTAGGAGGAAAGACTGACGCCTGGTCCTA